GAGGTTTGCGTTCTTTTGACCGAAGTTTGTCTCCCGCGTGGTGGAATGCAGAACCTGGAAGAGAACGGAAGAAAGAAGGTCGAAACAGCCCTTGCTGGAGCTGATCGGTGAGGCGAGGACAAACATAAATACAAAAAGGGCAAGGTTTTTTGGTTTTTGGTTGTTTTTTTATGCACTATCACTTCTTCAAATACACTGTTACCTTTATGTTAGAACACCCAGGGACTTTGCGTAGTACTACCAGTGCCACCTAATTATGGCCTTATAATGAGAAAGAACGTCACGTTTCCTACCTAATGGTATTAAATTTATTCTGAAGGGCTCAGCTTAACCCGTTTAACCAGTCAGAGCACACTGGTTTGCCCAATATTTGATTATTACTATTCCTTGTGATTTTTTGGAATTGTCCTTCCACCTCTCTGGTCTGGTCCGTCTGTTTCTCCACCTAGTGTTCACGACGTGTCCATCATGGTGACCAATCTCGTTGCAATTGCTGTCTTGATTGGTTTGGTACAATCCGAATGTATCAACACGGTTGGGTTGGGTGTCTTGGGCTCTGGCTGATCAGTCTTCCTTTGCACTCCGCGAAATGCTGCCATACGACCAAGCGCCTCAAATAGCCTCTGCTTAGGAAGACTTTCTCACAGCCTTCTCGTGGCGGAGATGTTTTCCCACCAAAGTGAGAGGACGAAAAGCCGTCATCAAAGGCAATAACCTGTTTGGTGGATCATTGGTAGATCACCTAGGGGAAATCGCCACAAACCCTGATTTCAAACCAACGAAGAGGTGTACGAACCACGAACACCTCTTCGGTTGTGACAGTGGTCACCGGCTTAATTGGGCATTGAGGTGTATTGAGCATTTCGGACGTTTGACCCCGTCCGAAGGGTGTATGATCCGATGAACTGGACATCGGCTCCCAACGAACTGCGGTTTTCAGACCGTCCCGCTGCCTTGCGGGTCAGACTTTGGCTAGCCGAAGGCTTCGGTTGTGGATTCCTCAAAAAAATTCACCTGCCTTGGCCTGGGCAACCTGGCAGTATTCAGTCCACATGCCAATAATGGAACGGTTTTTTTTATAAAGGTTATTGTACTATGATTTGTTTGGCACATCGTCTGTCCTCAGACAAGGGTGAAATATATATAATTCATACATCCAAGACATCAGTAAACTGTTCTCAGTAATTTAGTCATACTTGGATACGGAATAGTTTCCGTTATACAAAACAGTGGGGAATACACGAGACTTCGATTTCAAGTCATATTGATATTGAAGCTATTGGTGAGGTCAACCGTCCTCTTCCTTGCCGTTTGATATTATCACTTCTATCTAATCACTCGGTCACTGCTTGGTGATCTTCTCAAACCTGATCTCTATACCCACAAGCAATACAGAGTCACAGAAGTTTTACTTACCTACTTTCAGGGTTTGATGCTGACCATTTCCTCCACTGTTCAGAAAACTGATCATTTTGCATCTATTAGTCCTCGAGATAACCTGTCCCGTATGATCGATTTTCTAAATCAATAGCTGATTGTTTTTTTTCTCAGGCTTTACTTCCCCCTGTTTCAGGGATTATAATCTGATTGTACCGCTTAGTGAGTGATGTAATCATACCACTCAAAGGTATGCACGAAATGAGTCGAAATTAACTCGTATTATACTTTAACCACCCATTTATAATAAGCAAAATGTCAAGATTTTTCTCAAAGAAACGGCTAAAAACAAAAGTAGTTGATTAGGTGTGGAAGAAAACCGTGACAATGACATGATTAAAGTGTGCTGAACATTTTGTGTTGGTTGGAGAGGATATCACTGGCATTCATAATAATAATGTTCACGTCATTGGACCTCTCGCAGAACTTCTAATCAATGACACTCATCATCCTTTAGGGAGGACCAGCGGAGACCAATACTACCGTTACCTTTTTTATGCTTCAGTGTAATGGTTCTTTGAGTCATGTCCACCACTTGCTAATTGTGGTTGGTACTGAAAGGTGGGCATGCGCATATTATGCGTACAAACCACCGGAATGGTCCTCGATCCTCTTCATTGTTCGAATGCTGTTGCCACCATTTAGGGAGGACTCGCTGAATCTGGTAATGATCAAATGTTGAAAACCAATGAGTATCATAGACGCAACTTGTTTGTGATTCGGGCATATACGCTTGATTACAGTCGAAGACAGCTGCACTCATCAACTGTATAGTTTTCCATTTAGAGCTGCTAGTACTGATTTAGTATTCTTGTCTATAGGTAACAATACTTGTGTAGACTCGTTTTATGCAGAATCGAATGAAATCCTCAGTGAGATGGCAACCAAAAAAACATTCAATCATTAAGAAATTTGAGTGGTCTCCGACGGACACTTGTGCACCATTGTTCGGTGGAGGATTTCCGGTCAACAGTGATGAGTCCCGTTGTGAGCTCTTTGGTATAGTGGTGGTATCACAGGCACTAATAATGAGCTCTGATGTGAGGGAACCTCGAGTCTATTGCTTCTCAAGTGTTTACGGTTGACTAGATGACCCGTGGTTTATCCATGAAGATGAAGTCTGAAGAATGGTCAGGATGATCAGTTCAAATCAATCCCATCTACTCCATACCACTACTCATGAGTAACTTTGAATTAAATGTGAATAATATATCGCCACGCTGTTTCACCACTCTCATGAACTGTTTCCTCCGAGTGAGAGCGAGAGGGACAGAAAAAACAGAAAGATGTTACCAAACATTCTGATTCCGACCAAAACTGCTTGATTTTCTGTCTCAGATATTTCCAATTTCTCTTCTTCATTCATAACATTCTGATCGACCTACAAAAGTGCCTGTTCGATTTCACAGACCCATTCCTCGATGCGCATTCGCACATCATGAGCTTTGAGAAAAATCCAAACGAAGAAAATGTATTGGATCTCATCGAACAGGTATGTAAACGCACTAGGTTTCTATTTTTTCACACTTCTTTTGTTTCCATCTCCTCGAAAGTTTTTCGAACACTATCAGTTTCGAGACACATTGGCATTTTTCAAATCCGAATCGCGACTGTTTCAAACGGTTCCCGAACAAGACTGGAGACCGTTGAATGATTTTCGTCGAAAGGTATCCCAGCCAAATTGAACGGGTGATTGTAATCTGTTCAGATGGATATTATTCGAATGTTGAACGCCGGGGATAAGAATGGAGTGTTCCAAGCGTTGGAAGAAATTTTACCCGAAACTGTACTCAACACCCGGGACTATCAACGTCTGGAATTTGAATTGAACTTATACTTGACAACCACTGCTTGGGAAGAAGTTAGCTCGGTAAGAACTACTTTATTGTCTATTGTTCCAACTATTTGATTTGGTCATTTTTAGCAAGAACAAGCGGAAAATTTGCAAGAATTTCGTCGTTATTTGGAGACCAAGGGCACACTGCTCAGTCAGAGCACTGATTTGCTCCCCTACTACGCATTGCCTTACGCATCGAATCCCAAAGAGCATCCGGTCTACCAACAACTGTTCAAAGAACCTTGGCGAAAATCGGTCGTGTTTCGTCTGTCTACCTTGATCGATTCGATTCTGTCTCCAAATCTGATTGGGCCACCACGTCTGGTTAAAGTTCTAACCGAGCATACCACGAAACGGGACAAATTGATGCGACAATTGAGTGTTAGTTAATTTTCGTGCACGTATGAAATGAAAGTTTATCCTGATTTCACATTCAGCATGATAACTCCGGTCTCTCAGTGACGTATAATTGAAGAACGTAGATAAAAATTCGAGATGCAAGTTTATGGTTGTATGTAGTAGTAGTATTAGTGCTATTATTATGATCACTATTTTATTATTGTTATTAATAATTTAGGCAATTCTTAGAATTGGTGAATCTTTCCGGTGTTTTCCACAATCAGGCTACGGTTAATAACGTTTATAAACCGATGTATGTGTTTCGAGAGGAATATCAGCCTTAGTTTTGAGCTATATCAAATGAACTACCTCAAATTTTCACATCCATAGAAGATAGTTAATGTTTTTCAACACTTCATTTGTATCTTAGTCCAATCTTTCAAATCATTTCAGCCGTCATTAACTTTCGCTTTGTATAAGCTTTAATAAATTACTTTTATCAGTCGAAGTCCTAAAATGCTTCCGATTTCCGGGAAAATACCGACAGCAGGCACTAGAAAAATACAGTTTACTGACTAATTTTATTCTCAAAGATTTACATACTCAACTCTCAAACAGTAGCCGTTTTTATGAAAAGGTTATCAACATTTCCAAGACCCAAACCAATTACATTCATTTCTGTGTAAAACGCAATTTAACATTAAGCGCCTCTGGAAAGTAGCAACTTGTCAGATATTCTCATTTATTTGTCACCTACTTCCAAAGTTTTGTCAGTTACGTGGACCCTGAACACTTTGCAGTAGTTTGGTCGTCGCCTCGCTCAGTTGATAAAATGATTTTGTTAACTGACTCATCCGTTTCCACTTGATGTTTTCAGTTTTTAAAACCATTAACCATGCAATTTCATTCGCCGGTTTGGGTTGCTGTCGTCTTGTAGGTCGCCCATTTAGATAAAAGAGTAGAAGCAAGATTGGAATGTTGAGATCAGGGTCAAAGTGAGGATAGAGAATTCATATAGACAGAGGTTACAAGAATAATGAGTAGGGCGCCACTATTTGAGACACCAAGCCAAATCACTTAGTGTCCCTAACTACCAGTTACCATGATCTCAGGGTCCCCAGCCAGGGAGCCTAACGGAATCTATTTGACCCAGTCTCCCAGTTAGGATTTTCATACATTCATGTCAGGCTTGAATTTTTTTCATTCACTTCATGCCTGGGTAAACATCGCTCGCCTTGGCAACCTATTTGGTGACATGCGCAACACATGTTCCAACCAGCGTAATCTATGGAGGTCGATCAATTGTCCCAGTGGACGACCGCGCTTACCTAAAACTCTACGCCTTACCTCATCTTTGCTTGTCCGGTTATCCCACCAGACTCGTGCAATTCTACGTAGACAGCGGTTTTTGAACGCCGACAATCTATTTTTATCCTGTTCCGGAGACTTCATATTGACACTGAGTAGTTACGATTTTGTATCATATTGGTGTTGTTTGTCGCCTCGTTCTGTAGCTCAGAAGAAACACGTATTGATGATAAACTTAAGATTCCCTGAATGTTCGCAGAACCAAAATCTCGACAGACACCATGGAAAATCCATTTGGTGCTTTGAAGGAGACAGCGCAAAATCTCATCCTGGTCGAGTTATTATTGGTAAAGGGGCATGTCGAGTATGCATTTCACAGAAAACGATGTCACTTAACAGTGAAACAAAATTCCAATCTCAATAGAGTCTCACATTTCCATTAAACTTTGTCCGTACAGTTCTACAGAACATAGCGAATAACAGCATAGCAGACAAGCCAGGATTTTTATGGCTAAACTCAAAAATCTTCAACTGGGAGAAAGGGTGCTCAGTACAAAAAATAGGTCGACGACATCCTACGTTTGATAGATGCAACCGTAAACGAAAATTGGCAATTAGAGGAATTCACTCAGTGTGAAGTTCATTTCATAAAAATAAAAGGAGCATAGTCACATCTATATAGACGTATTCTTTGGTCGCCGGAGTGATGGTTTTATCCATCGGTCCCAGAGAAACGATCTGAGATGAACAATATATATTTGCTTTTACAGTTTTATCGCACTACAAATGAAGGAAAATCGATTGCGTTGATTGCTTGACAGAACATGGAGAAGATGCACTTGAAACACTGTGGAAAATGAACCCCGGTTTTTGAGGGCGATGTGTTTGCACTGAACGATTACTCGGCATGGTTTACAGATGAAACACGGCAATCATATGAGGAGACACTGACAGAAATAGTTTGGAAAGTCAGAGTCAAAGTTGTATTATGGAAATTATTTACAAGCTCATACTTCTATTGTCCCTATAGGATATTTACACAGTTGAATCGTCTCTCGGCACAAAAAAATTCTCAAGTGTCACATGAAGTTCCGGATAAGAAATAACAAATAGTGCAAATAATATAGTCTTTAATGAATTTGTTTTTTTTCGTTGTGTAGAGACGTGCAGTAGGTCAGGGTTTCATCGAGTCCCCATTTGACGGGTTCAATAGTTGATGCACAAGCGACATGAAATGGAAGGGTATTCCAAGTGCTGCACACTTTGAAAGCAACAGGTTGATGCCGGCAATCCACTCGACACTTTGGAATCAGTAACTTGAAACGATTTCCCCTAGGATGTATATTGTTCGACAAGTTGAGCAGCGGCCGACATAAATGGTTTGGGTTCTGTAGTACACCAAAATCAAGCCTCCTTGAATTCGGTGGTACTGAGCAGAAGATAGTCTCAATGATCGTAATCTCTCCTCATAGGTGAAGTAATGCAGTCCCTTGACCATCTTGGTGGCAATCATTTGTGGACGCTCTAGCATCTTACGATCACGTTGGAACCATGAACTCTTAGCTTGGATTGTGTACTCTGTGTACAGTCAAATGCACACTGATGACAAACGTGGGAACAGTGCTCTTTCAAACGGATCAAAGACTCACCTAAGCAAGCCAACATACTTCACAGCAGCGGAGGAAGCCCTGGCGCAATTGATCGAGCTTATATGTTCAGTTGTCGTCCAAAGGAGATACGGAAAGAGAAATTACTCAACAAGCAGTAAATACAAATTTCTGAGTTATGATACTAAAAAAATTATGTTCACATGCTAGCTAATTGTGTACTTTTGATTGAAGCATAAACTGCTCGATTTGGCAGCTCCCTACGTGCACTGATTCACCTGTTTCATTGGGACTGGGTGCATCGGACGCTAGATCTTGGGCGCTTATCTCATCACATTCGTGAACACCACTCGTCGTGATTGAGCACGGAACCAGTTAAATTGATTACAAATGCGGTTTGTTCACACCGATTTCGGTCGAATCACTCAACGCATGTGTGAAATGTGTTTCGTACCATTGACAGGGTATCAGGTAGGCAATCAATAGCAGTCCGAAACGGTGAGCACTCTGATCCATACTTCCTTCCCCCGTTTCGTGTGTGTGTGCTCAGAAGCACTTGGATCCTGTTTGACCGCTGACTCTTTCTCGTCCCGTAAGTAGCCAGTTGAACTTCTGCATTATGATTGATTTCACGCAAACAGACGCACACACGTCTGGGGTCTAATCTGAGCCCCAGGGATTGTAACTTGTCATTTCTCCTGATGGTATTTATAGTCATATTTAATGTTAAATATTCGCATGATTACGTTTGATTAAGATCAATGTTGTTCACCACATTGTATGATCCGCCATGGAAAACCGTATATTGAAATCTCACACAGAATGAACTTGCCGACGCGGAGAAACGAGCTTCACAAGCACAACGTCGATTTGCTCGTCTACAAATGGATTATCAGACACTGATCAGTGTATCGGCTGACTTGTTGGACGCGTTGGAGAACAGTTTGAAGGGTATCAAACTGGAGGATGGCCTGATGCAACGAATCTATTCCCGACTGGTTAATAATCAGGCTAAGGTCCCAAAACACGGATCTGCTCTGACAAATCGCAGTACCACAAGTCTTCGAGACTCATTGAGAAGTAAAAATCAATTGGATATGTCAACCAATGGATCGACAATGCTGACAGCCGCCTGGTAAAAAGCATTATTGTTTCTTTTTGATTGATGAATTCATGAATTGGTCTGTGATTTTTTTTAGGGGAAACGCATTGTTAGAAGTGATCGTATGATTTAAAGAGTAAAGTAAGATAGATCATCAAGTGTGAAAATCGAGACTCCCTGAGTTTGTTCTGGCTCACTTATAAGCTCAATCGTGTATCATATGCCGCGCGTCAAACAACACACCTGGCTTCCTTTGACTATCCACTCCAGCCCCCGAGAGAGGTTACTCCAGTAAAAAAAAACACGAGAAGCGACAGTTTACCGGTCAAATACAAACCCCGCTAGGTGGACGTAGGATCGGGGTACCTGGGGCTTCCTTTCGAAGGTGGGAGAAGTCTTCGCATTTCACTGGACAGCTACCGCCCGCTCAAGCTGGATAGGCCCCAGACAATAAAGTGCTGTCCCGTCCCCGTTACGCTTGTTTCATTGGGTATGTTGTGTTCCAAGTAAATGAGCACAGAACGAATGAAGCAGTAAGATTATTGTAAACAGCAAATGTGTAGCCGGCTCAAAAACCGGGGAACAAGTAGGAATGAACAAGGTGTAAGAAGGCAGGCAGGTCAAAACCGGCACACGCGTCGAACTATATACGAAACACTGAGCCGGAATTCAAAGGCCTTGCATGACAGATCTCCAGATGCTTCCGGATGCTTCGTGCACTCCCCGCGTTGCATCCACCCTTTCAGACCTTTCAGTCAAAGGCTCCGGTTAGGGTTATCAAAGAAAAAACCCTTCGTCGGTGTGGGCACCCGTGAAGTATGTCCAAAGTCTTAGGTACCCATTTGGAATACCACATTTATCAACTGTGTACTTCCTGTTCTCATTCTGAACATCCGTTTTTCTGGATCCATCCAATCGACTCAACCGTCATGCACTGTCATCAATACAATGTCACCAACCATATGCAAATATACAAAGCTATGCAGTGTCACCTCTCAATGGAGTGATCATTTTTTGCCATAGGCACCCAATGTGCCAAACCCCATCGCAACATTGTCTGTACCTATGGATTTCTGATTTCGGAAAGTCACCCCTTCGCAATCTCGCATTGTTGGAAAAAATCTCATTTCTTTATTGTCTATCCGAAAGGTTTAATGCTAATGTAGTTCATGGCAAATTTGTTGTGGATCATCAACGGATGCAACAACTCCATCAACATCATTGTTAGATAAGAAGCTCATAGTTGGCTGATTGAATATGAACCACATATACACATACAATAGGCCTATGGAAACTTTTAACGAAGAGTTCTGTTACTCTGTTGATGGAAGGAAACGCCTGTTGCATATGATTGTTGTTCCAGCTTGGAATTTCATCTCATCGTTCTTGGAACTGCGCTATAATCCACCTGAACCGAAATCCAAGATAATAGTCCTATGGGGATCGTTGTCAATGTTAAAGCTCTTTAGGTAATCGAACTCTGACAGACAGACAATCGGTCCTCCAAATCGACGAGGTTAACCTGTTCTAGAAGCTACATTGGGTAGACTCAACCGAATGTAAGACACGTGAAATTTCCAGTCAAACTTTTGCGTGTATTTCTTCATATTCAATAGTTGTCTTTTGTCATCTACAGTCTCTGGATCACAGTTTATTACTTTTTTTATTTCTCACTCCCGGATGTTCATTTCGATATTCAAATGAACTCCCGGTGATGCTACTTTTTGTCGAAGCTGTCATAGTCTACCTCAGGGCATACAAGTTTCAAAATATCCTTTGGTTGATCTGAGAGCAGTGGCAGGATGGGGTTGGGGGTTGGATGATTGTATTCAAGAGAATATAATGTGGTTCAGATCTGCACATTGAACATTGCGAATCTCGTGTGTTGGTCTCTTCTGTTTCTGTTGTTCATCCTCCAGGAATGAGAAGAACGAGATGCCATTGTTCGATTTGGATTTTGTGAAAATTAAAAAAGACATGCTACACATTGATGATCGCAAAAAGTGTTATCTGTTACAAGCACTACGATGGGTAAGTGGACCGATGCCTATTCCAATAACATGTATGTATGTATGTATGTATGTCTGTATATATGTATTTATGTATGTATGTATGTATGTATGTATGTATGTATGTATGTATGTATGTATGTATGTATGTATGTATGTATGTATGTATGTA